AAATAAATAATGCGGGTTAAATGGTTTGATACCAACGTTGCCAACCCTGCGAGTCGTCATCGAATCGAGACTGGGTGGGTGCGGATGTACGCGTTAATCGCAAGGCCGATGGACCAATATACCCGTGCTATTGTCACAGCTCTACCCATCGACACGTGGACTACCGTGACGTGCTGAATTTTATGATACGAAAATCAAAATCAAAATATTTTTATTCAATTATGCATATAAGAATTGCCATTGAATCGTCCAACATGTTTATCTATGATCAATATTTATTAAAAAAAAAGAAGGAGGTTCTCATTTCAACTGTATTTTTTTCTGCTTTTTACTTCATAACTTTTTACTAGGTGGACCGATTTAGATGATTATTTTTATTTGAAAGCTAGTACATGTCGTGTGACAACTATATGTCTTAAATTTGCATTAAGTATGCGTGATGTTTGTTACCTCAAAACTTTTTATAGGGTGAAACGATCCTATTGATTCTTTTTTTTAACTGGTGTTTTCGGTGTGGTCCCATTTCAATTTTCAGTATAGTATTTGTCAGACTTAGGTGAAGGTTTTAGGTATATAGACAGACTAAAAAAATTAAGGTTCGCACTTTAACACGGTTTTCAGAAAAGTATTTTTATTGTTACTTATTTATTATATAAACATATAAATATCACTAAAAACATGAAATAAAAAAACCTTTTTTAAAATAGAACCAAATTCGAACTTAAAAAAGTAAATAATAAAACTTATCTCAAAAGCGACTTATTCAAGAAAATGCTATTGAAGTCGGCGTCTATAAAGATAAGTATTATTTTTCATATTCATTTTGAAATCCGTTTTATTTTTTTAAGTATGAGAATGAACTCAGAAACTTATCGACTTTTAACAGTTATAACAATTACATTTACATACATTTATGTCATTACCATATAAAAATAACGCCAATGCTCAATAAAATAAAATGAAAGGTAGTGAGAATTGTTTAGTTAGAGCCAAGCATTGGCCAGCTAGCATTCTATTAAAGTAAAAAAAACTAGACCCATGCTTGACAAATCATATAACGATTTACTTTATATAACAACTAAGAAATATATGGAACATTATGTGAATGGCAATGACTATTTTCTAGTAGTGTTGTCTATCCAGTAAAATTTACTTAGAACGCAGAAAATCTCATTATTGAGTGTTTTATACATTTTAGTATAAAATAAAGATAGGTTACTGAAACCAGTTCCATTTTCACCACGATCTTTAACAATAAATCACTATAACAATAATGCGATTAGAATAAATTTGGTGTTTAATTAAAACGGTTGGCAACTGGCTAATTAAACCATACCACTGCTACGTAAACACATTCTTAGTTTGATTACAATTTTTTCCCATTATTTACACTGGGACCGCTACTTTTTGACGTACAAGTACATTTATGAAGCCCATTAGGAATTAGGGAACGGAACGCATCACAGCGTACCACGTTATATGAACAATATACATATTGTGTAAGATTAGTCACAGGTAGCTATATCTTGGTTATCTTCATATCTTAACAACACCGATCGTAAAATTTATAATACTACGCATGTTAATATATTAATAGGACAGGAATCGTCGGACCGTGGCTGAAGTAATGGACTCATACCGTAACGGGCTGCTTAGGTGGCTTTTTGAATATTAAAAGGTCGCAGAGTCATTAATAACGTACTTAAAGTAAATAATTGTTAATGTTTCGATCGCACGAACAGTGGAAGACATTGTTGAATGTGAATTTTTAATTAGTTTGTTAAACGACGTTATTGATAATGATAATAAGTAATCATGTTAAGATACTGAAAAATTTTAGGATGAAAAAACATAAATTTTGTATTTTTGGTGCTACTTTATTCAATGCTATATAATCAATTTAAATAAGGAATAAGTTATATCTTCAAACAAACAAAAAAAAGAACGGCTATATATGAATTTGGGAACAGATGAAAAAGTTCAATTTAAACCACAAACATATTCTATCCAAAAAGATTACGTTTGAAATTACAACAACAGAAGTTAGTTTTGATATGGTGTATGCTGACGAATCGGTGAGACAGATTTACAGTGCTATAATCAAAGCAAAATGAACGTTAACAAAGGAAAAAAAACCGACGGGTGATGTCGAGAGAGATAAACATTTTGCTAACATTGAAGCACAGTATAAACACGTAGAAGCAAAAACCGCATTTAACGATGAGACTAATATGAAGTTAATTGTGCAATGAATATAGACAAACTCAATACGTTGGTACTTTGTTTTGACCATTAGCCGCCTAAAGTGAATTGACAAAGCCAGAAGAGAATACGTCGAATTGAGACGTATCGACTTATTGTGGTCGGATAGTGACTTTAACCTGGCACTGAATTATTAATATAAATTTGAGTACAGTCAAATACTTAGGCAACTTAATATAAGTCATTTACGAACATTCAGTCATCATAAAACTTTTGAAGATCGTAAGACTAAGGGCCAGTTTCACCCTGATAGCCTCTCAGAAACTTATCTGCCTGATAAATTGCAAATTTTGGTTTCACAAGTCTCAGATAGGACTATCGGATGGATAATATCGGATCTTTAATCTGACAATTGATAGCGTTAGATGTTAGATAACTATCTAAAACTTTGTCAGCAAGTGGTGAAACAGGCCCTTAACTACAAATAGTTTCTATTACTAAGGAGTATCTACGTTTTAATTAAATAAAAATATTTTTTGGACATTTAGGAAAAGTAAAATCGTTTTAGCTTGCACAGATTTTGATATAAAAGTATGTATCAAAATCAAAAAATCAAAATCAAAATTATTTATTCAGTCTAGGCTGTTACAAGCACTTGTGAAAGTCGAGAAATATAATTATCGAGAAATATAATTTTACTAAACATAATAAGTTAAATGTAAAAATGCAGACTTTTAAAGGAAACGCTTTAGTTCGACTCGTTCGTTGTAAATATTTGGCTCTTATATTGCTTATTGAATATTAACATGATTTTGAGATTTTTACATAGATTATTATCTAAGTGTGTTTCATTTTGGTTATTTGCAGTATTTAATTGAATATCAATTAGAAACGCGGCCTGCTATTAGGAAGTATTTCTAATTAAAAACCTATTTCACAATAATAACAAATTATTATCTTTTTTCCCGGCTGCAAAGGAAGGGTTATGTTTTTGTATAACTTTCGTATATTTTCAACCATTTACCAAATTAATATCATTTTAACGCTTCATCTGTCGCTTAGATGATTTCGGTAGTTCACGTAAGTTCGGTGATTAGGGTCATCTGAGCCGGCTGAAGTTCATTCGGTTCTGTCAATGGGTGACGTCATCGCACGCTCCAGTTCCGACCTGTCCGGTCTCAATCACCGTCCACCTCAGCCTCGTCTATGGTTGTCAATTCTTTTGTTATTAGCTCTTGTCTGTGGTGTTATCATTTTTATCATAATCAGTAATGTTTTCTAGTAATAAATATAGAAGATGCTACTTATATATAATTTATTCTGTAGGGTCTAAAGTCTTTCGAATTTTATCTTCATAAAATCAAGAAATAATAGAAACTTATATGAAATACTGACTGAGCGTATCTTGAGATTTTATAGGTAATGTCTTACAGTATTAAGTCCATCATAATGACTTAGGACAAGATTATTTAACTTTCGTCCGAGGGATTGAACGTCTAATATTTATTAAAACAATATAATTAGAAACGACTAGCGCTTAAATTGAATTATCAAACGTAGTGTCGCTAAAAGTTGTTAAATTTTAAAACTTTAATCTTCTCTGTAAACGAAACATTAAATAACACATTTTCTACAATTAAATGTCATTTTGATCAGATTGATTTATTATTTTGTTCACGAGCTTTGTGAGTTTAAATTGTGGGTTGGAGGCAGTTTCATTATTTATTATATTCTAATTTACGATGCAATTTTCATTGAAATATTTTTTGCAAGCGGTTTTGGTTGTACTATAAAATATACTTTGATTTATCCTCTCAATTAAGTATACCTGACATTGTTCATTTAAATACCAAAATTTCTTTATCTGTAATATTATTATGATGATAATTGTTTATATTTTTATTTATGCATTGGAGTAACAAAACTGGCTTATTTTTTGTAGGTTTATATTCCGTGCTATGTTTTTTATTCGTTTAATTCATAGGGACGTTATTGTCATTTAGGATATTCGGTGACATCCCGTGTAACGTGTTGAGATAGCGTCAAATTTGATAGTTTCTGAATCATTGTTTCTTGGCACTTGCACGTATCCGCCGCAGGATTTATTGGACACTCTTTTCTATGATTCTTCTAGTCAGATGGATTTGATGGCGGTCGTTTGGAATATAGAATTGATGAATAGACGAAACGCAACAATAAAAAGTCTAAAGTTATTCTATATTGCAAATACTGATTCTACAAATGATAAATGTATTGCAAAATATATCAAATTCAATTAATGGGTTAACTAATTAGAATAGCTTAGTATTTATGGAAATCGCTGAAGGTGTTACACCTTTTTATCAATAATGTACACGAGTAAAACGATCTACAGAAGGATCGTCGATTATGACGAAGACGATACGTGGTCGTAACAGCGTTGAGCAGTATCGCTTCCAGTAATAGTTTTAACAAAGGCTCCTATTACCATTTCCTCGACCACCTGACCGTTTACGAAGGGTGCATAAATGAGCGAGCGAGCGCATGCACCGTTCGGCTCCTTCAGCACTGCCATTCGTTGCAGAGCCTAAAATGGACTAATAATGGCCAACCGCTCCACAATACACCTGCCATCGCATATTTGCTAACAGTAAAATTTATAGGCATCTCATTCTATTCGTGTACATTGTGTATATTAAATTTATACGTTAATAACGTCTGCGCGTTTTTCTTTGAACCGTCTAAAATAGATGGGGGGAGCATGCATTCGATGTTTTAGCACCGCACGATATCCGCGTGGACTTATCACTAGCACTCACTATATCCAGGCATGTAGACGGCCCTGATCCTGCGGACCAGGTTCTTGTCCTTCCTCAGCGGCGGGCCGAGGGCGACGGCGGCGTGACCCCGCCGCTCGGCGAACACTATATAATCACGTCGGTTTTTCAAAGGCACTTCGAAGCGTCCGGTGCACTCCAATGGGTTTTGGGGTAGTTTGAGGCGGATGACGGCGTCCTCGCGAGGCCAGTGGCCCTGCCGCCGGTAGATGCGGCGGACCTGGACGGTGGCCGCGTCCTTAGCGAGGGACTGGACGCGTGCTTCGAAGGCGGCAGGGGCGCGGTAGGCGCGCCACGCGACGTCCGCACGCTCGCAGTAGCGGCGCGGCGCGGCCAGGACGCACCCGGCGAAGGAGAGCAGGGCCCAGCAAAACGCCGCGCGCCCGCACGTCCTCATCGCGCCATCGCCGGAGCGTTTCGCACCCGTTCCGTTGTAGACGCGATACGTACACGTCGGCGGCCGCCGCTCGACTGAGCCCCGCACGCTCGCGACGCCTACACCGAAATAGTCCGCCGAGGCACGCGTTTCTGATTTATCTCGTACGATGATTAATTTGCGCTTGTTAGTAATTAGTTGCGAGGGGGTGGTGGGGTTGAATACTACAACACTAAGCCTTACGTTGATAACGACACGTTTTGTCTGATTGATTTTTATCAAGACGTTCATAGTATTATAGTATATATATAGCAAAAAATTGAGACAAATCTCCAATATGCAAAATGAAAACAACAATAGATGACATAAATACTTGTGCTTTTCTGGTTTAAGTAGTTTAGATGATTAGAGTAATTCCAAAAAAATAAGAATTTAAAATTTTCTCTTTTAACATAAGTGAAAGTGTTCTCGGTACAGCGTAGACATATAGGCTCACATGCGCAGTGATTTAGTACAGTTTTCATCAAACGTGTTTCAGCTCGTAGCATCTACGGTGTAGCGCGTAGGTGACCTCAGCGCGGTCGCGATTTGTGTCGCACGAGATCTGTATTTATTTACATAATTTATCACATACAAAAGATGGGCTTTTAAAGTTTATTTCCGATTGGTTTATTTAAGATTTTCATTTAAATTGTAATTACTACATTTATTCATTTTTCCCCATTTATCATAAGAGATGAACTGTAATAGTTGTGTTTAAAATAATTTATGCATCATTTATTATATGCCTGTTAATGTATCTACTGCGGTAGGCACAGGCCGTCTCTATATATGAATTTTAATAGGCAGTCAATGGACTATTGGCCCAGTGCGGCTTGATGAATCTAGCAACTGCAAGTGCAGCCGGAACCAATGGCTTAATGTGCCTTCCGAAGCATGTAGGTTTGAGTTAATAAAATTTTAGGTCACCCATCCTATGTTCCACTCATGCAAAAGTTGCTTACCTTATGCATCTAGGTCCAAACATGGTAACCACCAAGTAATAGAGCATATCTCCACCGAGAGTTAGTATGAACTGTGTTATTATTTTAACAAGCTGTTTCTTCGCGTAAATTATAGCATATAGCTTTTCGTGATTGAAAAAATAGTAAAAATCAGTCCTGAAATTTCGAAGCCTAATCAATACAAATAAACAAACAATTAAGTCTTTTGTCTTTATAACATTAGTATAGATTTACATCTAAAGGAGATTGGGCACTTAAGTAAAGAGTTTGGTCCAGTATAGATAGATAAATAGAAAAAAAAGAACGAATAATATGTCAAAAAATGTATTACTCTTTGACGTATCAATTTAGCCGACTTGTATCATAAAAAAAAACTTTTCCCAAGGAACGCGTAGTAGACCGCACTTCCTAAATATCCTGACGCAAAAAAAAATGTCATGAATGAGTGAGACATAAAAAAAAGATTCTCACAGACTAATAACGGTGCCCCGATTCGGTTTGCATCCGGTAAGGTAAACAGATTTAGTGAAACTACCCACAGGTAAGCCCCATTCATGTTTGTTATGAATGACCGGCGTATTTTTTTTTTGTTATTGGCCAAACAAAAAGCGCACGGTGGTCGGTCTCGGTGATACAATGAAGGGTTTTGATGTAGGTATACTTTATTACCAACTTTGATAAGTCACTAAGTTTCAATCATAGTTTAAATATTATTAGGAAATACAAATATAATAGAGTCAGATCAAGAAGATGGTCAATTTTATCCAAACATTTTGGCATCCTTTCTTCAATTTTATCTACTAACTAGCTATTTTTACGCATTCGCCCGCGTAAATCGAAACACGCGTATTTTGCAGCTTTCCAGTGAAAGAATTTTTAAAATCAATAGTTTTTTGCCTAATCGATGCAAAAAGCTTTCCTGTATAGTAAAATAGTGTTGTATAATAATGGATCAATTTAAGCCGCGTTCGATCTGCGATACGATTATTATGCAAATTTCACGAAGGCCTGTCTTAGGATGGGTTACTAAAAAAAAACATTAGAGTTCATCCGTGTTTCGGAACGTTAATCCTTTGATACCGGTTGCATCTGTATTCTTTGAAACCCATCAATCCGCGCTGAGCCTACGTGTGTAATGGCCCAGCAGTGGGGACGTCAATGGGCAAGCGATGGTAGTAAAGACGATAGTGACACCAACTTAACACAGTAGTGCTTTTAAATAGAATGGCGGATGACTGCCCTGCGATTTTGTTAAAAATCCGAACCCGAATTCATATTCACTCAGGTGGCCGAATTCTCTTCTAAAGCGGCATCCGTTTAATCTTGAATCGGAAATAACATTTCGTTGCATAAGTGAAGTGAGTTTCGAAATAATATAGTGATAGAATATCTGAGACACGTTTAGTCATTCAATTTTGTTTTGTATTTTTATACAAAAAAGGGAATCAATAGAAATTATACACTAAATGACATGAATCCGGACACATGACTGAATTGGAATTCAGTTTCGGATTTTTAGGGAATCGCTCCCCTGATGGGACACGACGTGGGACAATAAGTCTGTAGTGAAAAAATGCTTGCTTACTCATTTTGGCTTATGTCAATGAGAACGTACATTGTATATTTTAGATTCGCAAGTCAGTAAAGGGCAAAGGCAAAGTTGTGAATTGTGCAAAAACAAGAATAATTGTGGATTAACATTTACAAATCATTAGGGTTGTTTGAAAAGGATTATTACAATACTAAATACGATATTAATATCAGCCGCACCATACTATATATTCAAGGTATACTTATGTAATGATTTCACAGACAATATCCGTAATATGCCTATAATAAAATAAATGTGCACATAAAAATAAACAATACTTTTCCTTCCATACCTGCAAATAATCTTCGACCAACACCTGTTAAGGTTTTGGTTCAAACGTACAGACAATGAGTAAATAGCATTGTTGTTGTTTCACAAACTTAAAAAAAAAACTATTGTTTGAGACACGTGGACCAATTAGGGGGGTGTGGGAAGATTTTGTGACGCCTGTGTCTGTAAAAGAATACAAAAGATAGTTTTGTTAACACCTTTAAACAATGATGAGTAATAGAAGCTTGAAAATTTTTTCTAATAGATTTTAACGACGTAAACTTTTTAATTTTCTTTGGTAGTAAAAATGTTGTAGTTATTAAATATCATTCATCATTTAATTTGAGATTTCCGAGTACGTAATAATAATTTTAACAGCATATTTGTATTTAATAATTATCTTTACAAAACAAAAAGGTTAATTAATAAAAAAAAATACCGATACAAAATGTTTTTATACAAACTCATTTATTGATAAACTTAATTATCCATAAAATTAATACAAACCTTAATAGTGATAACTATAAGTAAGAATAATGCTTATAATAAAATTAAAAGTAATATTTTCTCTATCAAAGGGCGGTGGCAATTACGAGACAAACACTGAAAGATGGGCTAGTTACTATGGACCTAACAATTTGAAAAAAAGGGTTGCTCTATTCTAAATAAATATATATATTTGTTTTAAGAAATAGTTTCAAATTTTGATTATAAAACGAAAAAAGAGGCCATTCATATTTAAGTAATTAACGAATAAATAAAATATGAATTTCAATAAGAAGAAAAAAATACAGAGATATGTTGAAACCATAATAAAATCAATCGTATCTAATTGTTTTTCATATTCAATTTAAATAGGTTTTTATATAAAATTGTAAACTTCACAGCATACCGTTTCAATTATTTCTATTGTGACAATATTTAAAGTTAAATCCGCCATATTGAAATTACCATGAACTAATTTTGATTTAGCAAACATTTTTCATTTGATACCCATATCATGACTGAGCATAAAAATATAATTAAACCTGGCAGTTTTGTTACAAGATGGCTCTCTCTTGAGCCATACGGTATATTAGTTTTGAAATCCTATAACTGAGCTAAAAGTTAACTTTTGGCTAATTACTTTAGAATTTTAGGCCTTTGTGCAATAAGAAGAGATCTTCAGTCTAACATTTTTGAACTCTATTTCTATACATGCATACTGTATTCTAATGTGAATTATGACGTCATAAAACAAAGAACCAAGTAGAGTAACATTCGTTTCTTCTCGGCCACCCTTACTCATTTCTCGTTAACGTGTAATTGTTTGAGTTGTCATAATTTTGCCCGCATAATGTTGCCACATAAATATTTATTTATCGTCTGCCCGACGATATCGTCATGACGCGCTCGATTTACAACTCGACTTCACTATAAATACGCACCCAGTGATATTCGTTAATCTGTTATGCGACCTTTTTCATTAAACGTCAAATTGAGGCTTGAGAAGTTTAAAGTTCACTTTCTTTATACTGAAAGGTTCTGTTGCAAACGAAATTTTATTAATATTGCTAAAGGTTAAACAACGGTTGTTTATTTATACATTCTAGCTTTTGCCCGCAACTTCGTTTGCGTTGTATTAGTATTTACTTACAGTCGTTTATTTTTGACCAACTTCAAAAATTTAAAATGGACAAATTCAATCTACATTTGAAGTCAGACGAGTATAAACTTAGCGATCCAATCTTCGCCCGAATTAAAATTGAGTATATGGAATTTATAAGAATACTATTAGTAACCTGCGGCTTCGCTCACGTGGTCAGAGGCTGTGTGTACACTGGCCTGCTATACTGGAGTCTTAAGCTAATCTTAATTAAAAATCTGCCAGTGAGCATCCACCTTTATAATATTAGCCTATCAACGTTCCCAGTGCTGGGCATAGCCTTGCCCGGCAGATCGAATCAATTATGGAAATCTGCCGGTGTTTCTGTGGAAAACGCGCATGTCTTTATATAATAGTCCAGTTGCTTTTCTATCCATTTTAGTGTGCAATAAAATTTTAAAATTTCCTTGCAAAAAATACAAAAACCGTTTTCTTTGAAAAATAATTCTTTTATTGAAGTCGTTTAATAATAAAGCCATCATTTTGCTTGGATTGCGCTTATTCTGGACTT